CATATTTTAATTCTCATATAGTTAACATACAGCATTGTACTAGTTTCAGGTATACAATATAGTGATTCAACACTTCCACGGGAGTGGGCTGTTTATGCAACTCTTCTCATGAGATGTTGGTGCAGGCTGCCTGGCCTGTACGTGGTAAAGTTAGAAACCCATGCAATCTGACCTGGGCCCTGTGTTTTAACCACTGCACGATTTCTGGCATAAGGCTTGGTCCATCCCCAGCAAACCTTCCTTCTCATTTTCCCTCTTGGAAGGTAACTTGCGAGCTTGAAGGGCCCTGTGGGCCAGTCCATATTTGTCCTGTCTTCTGTCAGCATCTGGCCCGGCGTGGTCACTTAGCATCTAGCCAGACACAGTGCTCTCTTGTCCCCAGGCTCAAAGGCTGGCCTCTTCTTGGTTGCCTCACCACGTCTCGAACCCCATGTTTCCGGTTCCCATAAGCTTGGCCCCAAGATCTGGAGCTTAGGGCTTAACTGGGATTGGCTATGCACAGGTCCAGAGGAGAGCCCCAGCCTCCTGCCTCCTGTGGCCCCACCTCACATCCCCACCTACCTGTTGCCAAGCGTGCCTCTCACCACCGGGAGGCCTAGCAGAGGGCAGGTGGCAGAATGCCCACTTAGAGAGGTGCCCATTCAGGTTGGAGGCTGGCCTTTCCTCTCGCTTCTCTGCTGTCTGTCTGCCATTCCCTGGGCGTGTCCTTGTAGCTTTAGCAGCTGATGGACAAGCTTCCATTTGTGATCAGAACCAAACACACATGGGCTCCTGCCCCATGCGTCTGCCTCTCATCTCTCCGGTGCAAGGGAGGGGGAGCTCTGTTTATTTTAAATTTTCTAAATATTCACTTATTGCTCATCCACTCTTTAGAATCCTGTAATTTGCAATAGGGATTTGATTCTTTCTTGTTAACTTTCTGACTTTTTATTATGAAAACGTCAGACACAAGAGGATCATAGAAAGTCCCTCATCACCGTCTTTCACAATTGTCAGTTTGCTACCGTCTTGTTCCATCTGCCTCCACTCTTTTTCTGGAGTCTTTTAGAACAAACCACATACATGGCATTTTACCTATAAATATGAATGTTCTCTTGTTTCTTAAGTTATCTAATTTTTTATGACTTTTTATTTTGAAATAATGTGACTTACAGAAAAGTTACAAAAAATGCTTCATTCAGCTTCCCCTAATGTTAAGTCTTACATAATCACAACCAGAAAAGTAACATAGCACCATTACCTAAACCAAAGACCTGATTCAAATTCTGCCAGTTTTCCCACTAGTGTCCTTTTTCTGGTGCAAGATCCTACCTTGCATTTAACTGTCATGTCAGTGAGCACTGGGTGTTATATGTACGTGATGAGTCACTAACTTCTATTCCTGAAAATATGTTAACTAACTTGGATTTAAATTTTAAAAAATAATAATTAAAAAAAAATTTTTAATTGCTGTGTCTCCTTAGTCTCCTTCAATCTGGGACAGCTACTCAGTCGTTCCTGGGCTTTTGTGACCTTCACTCTTGAGGCGTTCTGGTCAGGTGTTTTGTAGACTGCACTTCGATTTGGGTTTAATGTTTCCTCTATTAAGTCTTCTATACACTACATTCAGAGCTAACAGTGGAGTTAGACCAAGATTCCCCATTTAGAACTGTAGACTGAAGCTGTGTGTTTGGGTAAGATGATAGAAGAGAGGTGCCCTTCTCAGTGTACCGTTATCAAGGGGTACATGAGGTCGGTAAGTATTACTTGGTTCAGGGGCTGTCTGCCAGGCTCCTGTACCGTCAGAGTTCTATTTTTGCCTCCGTAATAGATATGTATCTCACAGGGAGACAGTTTGAGACTATGCAAATATCCTATTTCTCATCATACTTCCCTCACTAATTTTAGCATCCCAGCAGTGGATCTTGCCTGAAGCCATTATTACTGTGATGTTTGCCAAATGGTAATTTTCTGTTTCCATCACTGCTTCTACATTGACTAATTGGGATTCTACTGCAAGAAAGATCTGTTCCTTCTTCCTTATTTATTTACTCAATTGTTTATTCCTATCAGTATTGACTCTTTTGTACTTATTGTATTCTATGGGCTATAATCCATTCCTGTTGCTTTTAAATTTGGTTACATTGTCCTAGATCTTGCCCCTGGGGCCTCCTTCAGGTTAGTCCCTGTGCCTTTTTGATATGTCCTCATCATTTTTTGAGAACTTCCTTACGTGCTGGCACCACGAGATATTCCCAGCTCATCCTGTATTGTCCTGTACTCATCCCCAGCCCAGGACACAATTATTGTTCACAGCGCCCTGGCTCCTTAGTAGAGGATGATATCAGGAACCAACACCTGAGTGCCACCTGAGTGCCAGCTGTGCTGTCACTGCTCCCAGGCTCTCCCGCTGGTCAGAACTAGGAGCTGTGTGGGGGTGCACACCTGCCCCCCTCCCCCCCACTGTTCTCCTGCTCGCGTCCCTCCTGTCATGCCAGCCCGAGTCCCTCTGCAGTTCCCTGACCCAGATCTGAGCTGAGGCCCTCAGGGCCGCCGCACCAGCTCCGCAGTGAGACACCCTGCTCATCGGACCTCTGCATCCCCTTCTTAAGTCCTTTTTGTCCCTTCCCTTACTTTTTCATTTCTTTCCCTCTCCTGACCTTACGGATGAATTAACTCTTCCTCCTCCTGGCTCTTTCTCTGCCCCTTTTTTCTCTTCTTACCCCCTAGAGAGATGTCAGAACTCAGCTGTGGTCAGGCCATGGTGAAGACACAGGTTTTCTCTTCTGCGTACCCGGTATTGTCCATACGACGGTGGTGGTAAGGATGGTTGGTTCCCACAGCACCAACTGAATGTGATTCAACCTAATAGCGAAGTCGTTCTTAGCTGGTAGGGCTGGGCAGGGAATTTCCAGGAGGGGCACGTGTTTCTGAAAACGTCTATGCAGCAAGATGGTTTTACACAGGCAGATGCAGGTATAAAATAGCAACTTCAGAAGGTAGAGGTTGGTGAAATCCTTCAGTCTTGGGGGCAGACATTGTAGAAGAGAGTCATTACGAATGGGGGATTCCTGGAGGAAGGGGTGCTGGACTTTACAGGTCAGTATGGGCCATTAAAGAGTTTCTCTCTCTCTTTTTTAATGTTTTATTTATTTCTGAGAGAGAGCGTGAGCAGGGAAGGGTTAGAGAGAGAGGGAGATACAGAATCTGAAACAGGCTCCAGGCTCTGAGCTAGCCGTCAGCACAGAGCCCGACGCGGGGCTCGAACCCACGAACTGTAAGATCAGGACCTGAGCCGAAGTCTGACACTTAACTGACTGAGCCACCCAGGCACCCCAAGAGTTTCTGTTTTTTATCAGCAGGTAACTAGGTTTGAAAAGACAGGGAAACACTGATGTTTAAGCAGGTTTCTTCGCTGTAGGGCTCTGGGCTTGCAGAAATCCTCCCCTGGGGATTATCAGGGCTGACTGGAGCGCAGGTAGAACCCAGCTAAGGCGGCAGCCGCCTGTGCCCTCTCCTGTCACTGGGGCTGGACCAGACGTGCTCTGCCCTTGTTCCACAAAAGCCTTGAAGACCTGCGTGAAGGACATGAAGTTGATGGGCTCTCAGGATAGCTGTGACTTTGTCCTCTTCCCTACAGACCAAGAAGGCCCAGTGGGATTGAATGAGAGGGAGTTCTGTTAAAGGACTAGCTTTGAATCCACAGGAATTTACTTAAAACAAGTCATCTGCAGACTCTGGGACTTGAATTGCCACGAGGAACATGCTCCTTGTACTCCATTCATGCTGAGCTCTCCCTCCAGGAAACCCCTTCTAACTCCCAGGCCTGCTTCTCCCATACTGAGTGGAGGGACACTGAGGCTGGGAACTTGTCACTAGGTTTTCTACCTCTGTTCTCTCCTTTCTCCAGGCTACTCTGCTCAAACACTTTCAGCAGCTCCCCATTGCCTGTAGGGTAGAGTTCAGATTTCTTGACCTAGCACCAAAGATGCCATTGACATTTTGGCCTTAGCGGATTTTTCTTTTCTTTTCTTTTCTTTTTTTAATGTTTATTTATTTTTGAGAGAGAGAGACAGAGAGACAGAGTGCAAGTGGGGCAGGGGCAGAGAGATACAGAGACACAGAATCCAAAGCAGGGTCTAGGCTCTGAGCTGTCAGCACAGAGCCTGATGTGAGGCTCAAACTTAGAAACTGCAGGATCATGACCTGAGCCAAAGTCGGACGCTTAACTGGCTGAGCCACCCAGGTGCCCCATTAGCTGAGTTTTCTAAGTCTCTCTTCCTCTCTGTGAACCATCTTAACTGACCAGACTGCACTGTGTGGTCTCCTTAGATCAGTCTCTAGACGGCCTCCCAGCTCCTTTCTTTCTGCCCTGGAGATGACATAGCTGTTCCCTCTGAAAGCTCAAGGAAACGGCCAAACCAGAAGGACTCATTTCTTCCTCAGAAGGGTCTGGCCGTTAACAGTCTACGGGGGTCACTGGAGCCCCACCTACTGCCCGTGCAGTGACACTCACGTTACCATAGTCCGCATTCCCTACCAGATGGAACCTGTGTGGAGAGGTATAGCTCCACTTTGGCCCACAATAAATGTTTGTTTCCTAATTTATTTTTTTTCTTTTTATTTCCTTTTTTTTTTTTTAAGAAAGAGAAAGAGCATATGTGTGTGAGTGGGGGAGGGGCTGAGAGAAGAAGAGAGAGAATCCCAAGCAGACCCCATGCTGTCAATGCAGAGCCCAACACAGGGCTGGATCCCATGACCCTAGGATCATGATCTGAGCTGAAATCAAGAGTCAGAAGCTTAGCCAACTGAGCCACCCAAGGCGCCCCATATTTTCTAATTTCTTTTTTAATGTTTATTTTTGAGATAGAGACAAAGAGCAAGTGGGGGAGGGGCAGAGAGAGAGGGAGACACAGAATCTGAAGCAGGCCCCGGGCTCTGAGCTGTCACCCCAGAGCCCAACATGGGGCTCCAACTGATGAACCGTGAGATCATGACCTGAGCTGAAGTCGGACGCCCAACCGACAGAGCCACCCAGGCACCCCTCATATTTTCTAATTTCTAATACAAGAATTTCTTGGAGGGATTTGTTTACCCAAGTTAGAAGGGTTATGGGGAAACTGATGCCAAGTAGCACAGCTCAGAAACAGAAGGCACAGGTCAGACGCCCATGTGTTTGCTTCATGCACAACAACAAAGTTAAATTATTCTTAGTTTAGAGAAACCAAAACCCCAGCCCACACCAGCTTCCATAATAAGGAAAGTTTACAGCAGGAAGTCCAAGTCATAGAGCTCTGAGATGCCACCGGGGTCCTTCCTATCTCTCCTCCATCGTGCCATCCTTGTTGTCAGGCCAGTCAGCAGATGGCAGGCAGTGGTCATGGGACAGTACCTGCTTTTCTGTCAGGTGGGTGGGAGCGTGGAATGTGACTCCTTCCCTCCATTCTGCTTGGTTCTGCTCAGGTAGCAGGCGGCGCTGGGCCAGCACCCAGCCCCCAGAAGCTTGCTCTCTGCTGGCCAGCCCTCTGAAGGTGGGAGGTAGATCTTGGCTTTCTCTGCACCTCATGGGTGTCAGGAGGAGGGGTGGCTATCTGAACAGACCTGAGGTTTTATTAGGAAGAGTAAAGGTACATGGATACTGGGTGGAAATAGTGTCCACTCTGCCCTTTATTAATGCACTTGACTTGGAAGCCCAGGTAGAGAGTTGGTGACGGACTCTGGTGCAAGGTGCCAACAGATGACAGCATGTCCTATCTCAGTCCTCATCTTTGGGAGGAATCCTCTTCTTAGATTTAAAATCCATTGTTTCAAATGACTGTAATGAAAAGGGACAGTTCCTGCCTCAGCACCAATCAGCTTTTGCTTCAAGTCATATGAAGGCAGCCAAGTGTGTCCAACATGTTTTAAAATGCCAAACTTCATTGTGCATCCTTGTGGCCCTTTATTAACTATCCGGTGCCTCATTTTTCCCCCTTTTCCCCTCTGCTAGACACTTATTAGGTTGAACCTAATTGTGTGAAATTTTGTACACGAGAAGCAGTCAGCTATCAGTATTCATGAGGTTCAACTAATACATAATTTCTGACCTTCTCCACAGCCCTGCACGGTGGGGGCTGTGCCCTCGCTCTTGCCGATGGGGAACCTGACTTCAGAAAGGCCACACCATAAAGTCATGGAGCTGGGTTTGAACCCGTCTGCCTGACTTTTTATCCTTAAACTTTCCTAGACAGCACACATTCTCTGGGAGCCATCAACCACTGGTCATGCAGCAGGAACTCAGAGCCAGGTTGGTTTAGGCTGTGATGTGATAATGACTGAGATCAGGGGTCTCCAAAAGAGCAAACCAATTGGTCAGACTTCTTGGAGCAGTTGGTGCCCTGAGGCCGTGCTACCTGTGTCCCCCTGGGGAGGGTGAGCAGAAGGTGCGGCTGCGCTGGCAAGGCAAGAACTCCAGAGGAGTGCCCTTGGTCGCAGGAAGGGAGGCTGTGGTGGATGGGATGGGTTCAGAGCGACCTTAGAGGGAGGCAGCTGGGGGGAGAAGTGGAGAGACTGGGCTGTGTGAGGAGCCACCTGCCTTCGCTAGACCCTCAACTCAGAAGCCCTATGGCCAGACCTGCCCATGACCTGCTGCTGTCCCCCGTCTTCAGGAGGCAGCACTCACCAGGAGTTGAGGACACCTCCATTTTTAATCCTGGTCATGCCGCTGAGTTGCTGGATGGTTTGGGGCAGATTCCTTCACCTCACCTCTCTAAGGTGAGGAAGACTTGCTTAGTAGTTAACCTGAATAACAGTGGAATTCCTGGGGCGCCTGGGTGGCTCAGTCGGTTAAGCAGCTGACTCTTGGTTTCACCTCAGGTCATGATCTCATGGGTTCGTGGGTTCGAGCCCCTCCTCAGGCTCCTCAGTGGGAAGCCTGCCTGGAATTGTCTCTGTCCTATCTGCCCCTCCCCCACTCACCCATATCTCTCTCTCTCTCTCTCTCTCTCTCTAAGTAAACTTAAAAAAAAATAACAGTAGAATTCCTTCCTAACAACAAAGAACCCTGTTTTTACTTTTTATTTGTTTTTAAGTATATTTATTTTGAGAGAGAGAGAACATGTTGAGAGAGAGCATGAGTTGAGGAGGGGCAGAGAGAGAGGGAGACAGAGAATCCCAAGCAGGCTCCATGCTGCCAGCACAGAGCCCAATGCAGGGCTTGATCTCAAGAAACATGAGATCATGACCTAAGCGGAGATCGAGTCAGACACCTAACCGATTGAGCCACCCAGGTGCCCCAGAACTCCCATTTTTTAAATAAATTTTTGTGGTACCCATATGAGTTTCCTAGTGCTGCTGTAACAAATTTACCAAACTTGGTGGCTTTCAATGACAGAAATTTATTCTCCCTCAGTTGTGGAGGCCAACAGTCTAAAATGAAGGTATTGACTGGGCCATGCTCCCTCCAGAAGCTCAAGGAGCTAGGGGCACTTGGGTGACTCAGTTGGTTAAGCATCCAACTTCAGTTCAGGTCATGATCTTGCAGTTTGTGGGCTCAAGGCCTGTGTTGGGCTCTGTGCAGAGAGCTCAGAGCCTGGAGACTGTTTCAGATTCCGTGTCTCCCTCTCCGCTCCTTCCCTGCTCACACTGTCTCTCTCTCTCTCTCTCAAAAATAAACAAACATTTAAAAAAAAAAAAAAAACTCTCGCGAGGATTCTTCCTTGCCTCTTTTTAGCTTCTGGTGGCTCTTGGTAATCTGGGTGGTCTTTGGTTTATAGCTACATCATTCCAGTCTCTTGTCTTTGTTTTCCCATGGATGCCTTCTATGTTCCTCTGTGTTCTTTTCTGTCTTATAGGGATACTTTCATTAGATTCAGGGCCTACCCTAATCCATTATGATCTCATCTCAAGATCCTTAACTAATTGTGTGTGTAAAGACCCTATTTCCAAATAACATCACATTCTGAGTTTCTGGGTAGACATAAATTCAGGGGGGGGGGGAACATTATTCAATCCACTAGATACCCTTAAATATACGAAATTAAAGGTGCTTGGTTTTTGTGGAGGTAAATGGGGGCCCATGACCCCGGCCTCATGTCCTCATTGCCTACCACCAACCCTTGGCAGCCCCCAAGGATGAGGATCTGCAAGCCACCAGGTACCCAAGGTCCCAGGAAGCCCTAGTTCACCATATCCCCTGGCAATGAGACTTTGGACTTACAATTTTGAATTGATGCTGGAATGCGTTAAGACTTTGGGGGCTCTTGGGATTCATGGTCTAGTTCTTTGGTTAAGAGCCGTTCGATTTTTCTCAAATGTGGTTGTACCCCAGAATCACCTGGGAGCTTGGTAAAAAAGCAGATACCAATGCGACTTTGGGTTCTGGTCAAAACAAAGTCTTTTACCCCTATCCATGCACTAATACAGCTAAAAACACAGGGCATTGTGTATAAAACATCAGAAGACTGAAAGGTGGAGAGAAGAATGTGGAACAACACAGTACTGAGTTCCTTGGATTTTCTGTTTGCCTCCTGTGTGTCCCAGACTGGGTGCCAAAGTAGCTCACAACCCAGAAATGCCAGTGAGCACAGACCAGAAAAAGCCTCAAGGAAAGCTCTCTCTCTCTCATCAAAGGGCTAGAAAAGGAACAGCCTAATAAAGCAAACCTTTTTGACGGCAAACCCTATTCCTGCAAAACACCATGGGAAATTGCTTCTTCCCTCCCTCCTGGCTATAGCAAAGACTGAATGCACAGCTTAGACGTCCATCCTTGCTTTGTGGTAACCAACCAGGCAACCCCCCCCTGACCCCCTGCCGCTGCTTCAGCACCTCGACCTACCCTTCACCCATGGGTCTGGATGAGAAGCCTGGACCTTTACCACCACCCAGCGGTAACAAGATGTCCCCTCCACCACCACAGTCCCCTTGAGGGGTCAGTGGATCCTAGACTTCATCCCCCACCCAGTGATGATGAGGGACCCCGGAGTGTCAGTAGAGCCAACTGAGAAGCCTAGACTTCCTACTCCATGATTGTGCCACGTCTCTCACCCTCACTGCCAGGGTGCTGTTGATAGAGGCCGAGCAGGGAGCATGGCTTTTCTCTCATCCAGTGGTCAAGAGTCCGTGCACTCCCTTCCCCCACTAGCACGGTTCTTGCAAAAACCTGCAAAAATGGAAAGTTTAATATAAGCTCATTATACCCCAAATGCCCAGCTAAGTTTCAGCAAAGAAAGGGAAGAGATAAAGAACAAACTGGAGATTTGAGAACTGAAGAATGTAGTAACAAAAATGTAAAATCACTGGATGGGCTCAATAGAAGAATGGATATGACTGGATATCCGTATCCAGAAAACAATTAGTGAACAGGAAAACAAACAATGGAAATTATCCAATTTAAACAACAGAGAGAAAATAGACTGGAAAAAAAAAAAACTGAAGAGAGCCTTAGAGACCTATAGAGACAATATATATTTAAAAAATTTTTTTTCTTATGTTTTTATTTATTTTTGAGACAGACAGAGCATGAGTGGGGGAAGGGCAGAGAGAGGGAGACACAGAATCCGAATCAGGCTCCAGGCTCTTAGCTGTCAGCACAGAGCCCGATGTGGGACTTGAACCCATGAACGTGAGATCATGACCTGAGCTGAATTCGGAGGCTTAACCGACTGAGCCACCCAGGCGCCCCTATATTTTTTAAAATTTAACATACATGTACCTGGAGGCTGAAAAAGTATTCAGAGAAACAGTGGCTGAAAATTCCCCAAATTTGGTAAGAGGTGGAAACCTACAGATTCAAGAGTGAATGAAGCCCTAGCAGGGTAAACCCAAAGAGATGCACACCAGGACACCTGATAATCAAGCTTCTGAAAACCATACTCTTCAGAGCCACACAAGAGGAAGGATGCATTACGTCCAGGGGGAATGCATTTTAGATGCAGCGGATTTCTCATCAGAAACATACAGGCCAGAGAGCAGAGAGAAAGAACTGTCACCCCAAAGTTCTGTCCCAGTGAAAATACCCTTTAGGAATGAAGGTGAAATCAAGATATAGCACTTGAAGGAAAACTAAGAGTTTGTTCTCAGCAAACTTCCTTACGATGGTAATAAAAGGAAGTTCTCCAAAGAAAAGAAATAACCAAAGAAAACCAGGGACAAAGAAAGAATTAAAATATGGGTAAATATAATGGGCTGTCCTTTCCCTCTTGAGAAAATGACATTTGACAGTTGAAACCAAATTTGTAATACTGTCTGATGTGGATTTTAATGTCTGTAGAGGAAATGTTGAAGATAATTTTAAGGGAGGATAAAAGAGCCTCAATAGAGATACAGTCTCTATACTTATTCGAGATATAAAATGTCAATACTAATAGACCATGCTAAGTTGCATGTATATAGTATGATGCCTAGAACAACTAGGAAATCTCTACCAAGAAATATACTCGAAAACACTATAAATTGATAATAATAATTTAAAAAAAAAAGATATTCTACAAGAAGACAGGAAAATGGAACAGGAACAAAAGATCCTGATTCCTGAGCCATACTCCAGACCTGCCGCTGATCAGAACCTCCAGGATCCAGGCCTGGGACTATAGTTTTAGCAGGTGCCTCTGGGGATTTTGAGAACAGCCAGGTCTGGGAATTTGTGGTCTAGACCAGTATTTTTTAAACAGCAAACTGCCAACCCTGTTAGGTTGTAAAATCATGAAGCCCCTCCTTCCCCACCTTTAAAAACAATAGAATATTGGGCTGGAAAAGGAAACGCTAGAGTACATTATAGCTAGTCAGAGTAATTCTTTGTGAAGTTTTTTGATGGGTAATGTAACATGTGCATATGTATGAATATGTACATGCTCAGCCCTTAGATGAGGGTAGGCTGGAGCGATGCTGCCCCAGGAAGGGCCTTCAACTAGTGCTGGGCAGGGTTGGTAGGCAAGTAGCCTGGTTTCCCATAGTGACGAGTTCATTCATGTGCCCTGTATTGGCTTCACTCCTTGTCCCTCTTCATTCCCTACTCTCCTACACAGATTTATTGGGATAGTTTCTCGAATTATTTTGACTCAAACCCTTATCCTTGATTCTGCTTCTGAGGGAACCTAGCCTAGGGCACAGTTTCTTTCTGGGCAGGACTGCACTTTGATTTTTGTGATCACGGGGAGAGGGAAGTTGCAAGACACCGAGAGTCAAAAGCCAGTCCCGAAGGAAAGAAGGGGCAGGTCAAGCCCCTCCCCAGTGCAGTGCTGTGTGGGTACCAGCTGTTACCCGTGCTCCTCCTGCGAGGGTCGAGGGTGACATCCGTCAGGTATAAGCCATCCTGGGCTTCACAGCAAATGAAGTAAATGAACCCTTCCTTGTGGTGCAGAAAAATGGAGCAGATGTCTGCAGCCCGGCCAAGCCTCTCCGTCAGTGTATCAGCGGTGACCTGCAGACACAGTTCTTTTACTAGACCACAAAGGGGACAACCAGCTACCCATCCTTTCATGGGAATCTAAAAGGCCTGATTTCCAAACAGGACTTTTAAGCAGGAGCAGACATTCCCCCCATAGCCCCCAAACGCACGTGTCATGTGTCCTAAGAAGGGGCACATGGGAGTCCTGGAGGACAGTTGGCAGTGAAACCCACAGGCCTTCAGTCCCACGTGAGGAAAAGTCCAGGAATGCCAGGCCCCTCAAGGGGACTTTCCCTGTGGCCTCCCCTCACAGGTCCTCTGTTGGTTAGCTGTGGCCATAGCTGTGCTGCATAATAAACGGCCGCAGGACTTCCATGACCTCAGACTTCTCTGTGTTGACTGGTGGTTTTGATGACCTTGGCTGGGTCCGCTCACAAACCTGGGGGTCAGGTGAGCCACACTCCTGGGCTGGAGCAATGCTGCTCCACGCACATGTTGCTCCTCCTGGGACCAGGAAATCAGGCCGAACAGATTCTTCTCACAGCAATGTCATAGGCATAGAGCGGGCAAGGCCAGCCACATAAGCTCTTTCCAAGGCTCTGATTATGCTTTCTCTGCTAACATTTCATTGGCCAAAGAACATTATGTGGTCACACCCAAAGTCAAGGTGCAGGGATGTGTACTACTTCTGTGGAAGAAGAGGGGAAGGGAGGGAGTGAATATTTTGAACAGCGGTCTAATCTACCATACCTTCAAATGTGCAAGATGATTCAAGAATCCAGGGCTGGGGCGCCCTGGTAGCTCGTTCGGTTAAGCTTCCGACTCTTGATTTTGGCTCGGGTCACGGCTCAGGGTAGTGGGATCCAGCCCCGTGTAGGGCTCCACGCTGAACTTGGAGCCGGCTTAAGATTTTTCTCTCCCTCTGCCCCTCCCCTGCTCAGTTAGTGCATGCACGCAGTGCAGGCACAGTGCCTGACACACAGCGGGAGCTTAAGTTGACTCCAGACAGACTGTGCCAACACCTTTCTGTTCTCCTTCTCTCCCGCAGGCTTTTGCTGAGCCTCGGGATGCCCGCGGAGATGGGTCAAGCCCGCCGGGCCCGTAGCACCTCCCCGGGGCTGTCCTCTCGGTAGGGCCCTGCGGTGGCACTAGGATGCACCTGTCGGCGGTGTTCAACGCGCTGCTGGTGTCTGTGCTGGCGGCCGTGCTGTGGAAACATGTGCGGCTGCGCGAGCATGCGGCCGCCCTGGAGGAGGAGCTGGCGCGCGGCCGCCTGGCCCCGGAGCCCGCGCCCGCGCCGCGCATCGACTACCCCCGGGCGCTGCAGACGCTGGCTGAGGGCGGTACGCACATGGTGTGCACCGGCCGCACGCACACCGACCGCCTCTGCCGCTTCCAGTGGCTCTGCTACTCCAGCGAGGCCGACGAGTTCGTCTTCTTCCACGGCAACGCCTCGGCCATGCTGCCCAACCTGGGCGCGCGGCGCTTCCAGCCGGCGCTGCTCGACCTGTCCACCGTGGAGGACCACAGCGCGCAGTATTTCAACTTCGTGGAGCTGCCCGCCGCCGCGCTGCGCTTCATGCCCAAGCCCGTGTTCGTGCCCGACGTGGCGCTGCTCGCCAACCGCTTCAACCCCGACAACCTCATGCACGTCTTCCACGACGATCTGCTGCCGCTCTTCTACACGCTGAGGCAGTTCCCCAGCCTGGCCCAGGAGGCCCGCCTCTTCTTCATGGAGGGCTGGGGCGAGGGCGCTCACTTTGACCTCTACAAGCTGCTCAGCCCTAAGCAGCCACTCCTGCGGGCGCAGCTGAAGACCCTGGGCCGGCTGCTCTGCTTCTCCCACGCCTTCGTGGGCCTTTCCAAGGTCACCACGTGGTACCAGTATGGCTTCGTCCAGCCGCAGGGCCCGAAGGCCAACATCCTAGTCTCGGGCACCGAGATCCGCCAGTTCGCCCGGTTCATGATGGAAAAGCTGAATGTGAGCCAGGCGGGGGCTCCCCTCGGCGAGGAGTACATCCTGGTCTTCAGCCGCACCCAAAACAGACTCATCCTGAACGAGGCAGAGCTGCTGCTGGCACTGGCCCAGGAGTTCCAGATGAAGACGGTGACGGTGTCCCTGGAGGACCATGCCTTCGCAGACGTCGTGCGGCTGGTCAGCAACGCCTCCATGCTGGTCAGCATGCACGGGGCGCAGCTGGTCACCGCCCTCTTCCTGCCCCGTGGGGCCACTGTGGTCGAGCTTTTCCCGTATGCCGTCAATCCCGACCACTATACCCCCTATAAGACGCTGGCCACGCTGCCTGGCATGGACCTCCAGTATGTAGCCTGGCGGAACATGGTGCCGGAGAACACAGTCACGCACCCCGAACGGCCCTGGGACGAGGGCGGCATCACTCACCTAGACCGGGCTGAGCAGGCCCGCATCCTGCAGAGCCGTGAGGTCCCGCGGCATCTGTGTTGCCGGAACCCCGAGTGGCTCTTCCGAATCTACCAGGACACCAAGGTGGACATCCCATCCCTCACCCAGACCATACGGCGTGTGGTAAAGGGCCGGCCAGGGCCCCGAAAGCAAAAGTGGACCGTCGGCCTCTACCCAGGCAAGGTTCGGGATGCGCGGTGCCAGGCGGCGGTGCAGGGTGCCTCCGAGGCCCGCCTCACCGTGTCCTGGCAGATCCCGTGGAACCTCAAGTACCTGAAGGTGAGGGAGGTGAGGTACGAGGTGTGGCTCCAGGAGCAGGGGGAGAACACCTATGTGCCTTATATCCTGGCCCTGCAGAACCACACCTTCACAGAGAACATCAAGCCCTTCACCACCTACTTGGTGTGGGTCCGCTGCATCTTCAACAAGGTCCTCCTGGGGCCTTTCGCAGATGTGCTGGTGTGCAGCACCTAGCGGGCATGCTGCAGCCAGGCCTGGGTGGGGGTGTGGCTCCTCCAGCTCCGTGTCCCTGGGCTCACTCGCTCGCAGTGGCTTCTGGGAGTTGCTTATCTATTGAGCAGGCCTGCCCCAGGCTCATTCCTCCATGTGTTCCTATTGTATCTGGAGCGTGGGGTTCCCAGTACTCTCTGCCCTGGTACCATGGGACCCTCCCACCCCCCTTCTCCCATCCTGAGCATCCAGCCGTGGAGAAGGTCCTTAGTGGGAGGAGGAAGAGGAGGAGTAGGAAGGAAAGTAAGAACCCTAAGGAGCCTCTGGCTGAGCAATCCTGCTGTTCCCGACTGAATCCTTCTGGTTGATCTCCAGGGTTTGGAAACTGTGAGTAGATCGCGTGGTTGCTTGGGCGGGTGGTTCATCAGCTTCCGTCATCATGGCACTCACCCATAGCGCAGTGAAGGTGTGTTTGGAACATTCATTAAATGATTATAAACATCTTGGTCAAGTCTTGTTATTGGAGAGCAGGGAGCGGGGCTGGTAGTCGGTGCCCACATGCTCTGTAGCCCCAGCTGTCACCCGAGGAGACGTGGTGATGGGGAAGGCGTCGAGGCCTGTGAGGTGAGGCAGGCTGGTTGGACTTCACCTTGACTGCTGGGCGGATATCGCATCTCCAGCTGCGTGGGGCAGCGAGGCTGGAAGCAGGAGGGACAGGGATGCGATGAGGAGGAGCAGCATCCACCAGGGGTTTCGGAGGCCAAAGAGGACTCACAAGACCACAAGAGACCAGACTGGGCATTGGGTTCCCTTAGAAGGACACAGGACGGCACGTTGAGCACTTCTCTTCTGCAGGAGGAGTCCTCCCACCAGCGGGGGCCCATCTCGCCCTGTTCCATGAGTCACTGCTCGAGGGTGACGAGGCAAGACTCACGTCAGTAGTTGGGGCCATTGTCTTTCAAACAACAATCTTAGTTCTTAGTTCCCAGGGCCTCAAGGGACATGCCGGGTTCCAATAGCCACTGCACTCGGGGAGCCCCCAGCTCTGACGTCCCCACCAGATATTTTAGTTCGTTTGCGGCTGATGCAGACATAGCTTATCTATCAGACGTTAGCTTTACTGTTAGCAGCTTTGCCAGATAACACACCCGACGTTCCACCTTTGTCCGGCTTCCGCAGGAACAGCTAAGATCAGTTTTGTCCTTAGAGAAGAGACCCTGATGCAAGTCTGGCTCCTAGGAAGGACAGCAGGAAAAGGGCTCTGGGAGGGAGAGTCCCAGGCTGTAGCTCAGTTTGAGGACTGTCACCCCCAGCTGATCAGGAGGTCAGAGGCCGAAGTTTTCTATTAGGTGAGCAGCCAGATCACTGGGGGCTGCTGCAGAAGAATGGCCTCGGTGCTAGTCGGCAGATTCAGAGCAGGAAATCTAAGGTGGCACATTTTCACGGTCACCTGTGCCTCTCTGACTTTCCTTTTACCCCGAATATCTTTGTCCCTAACCATATCCTCCATCTGCCACCTTCTCAGACTGCCATGTTCATCCACACGTAAAGGTTCAGTTCATTTGGAAGTTCAGAGGTGTGGAGGTGAAATGATGCAATTATTTTGAGACCATTTGGTGAGTTTTTCACTAAAGCTGAACACATAGCTACTCTGTCTCTTGGCGATTCCACTGCTGAATACACCCAAGAGAAATGAGTATGTAGGTCAAAAAGACATGCACTGGTGGGAGGGAAGCCTCACTCACGCCCCGGCTCCAGTGAGAAAGAGGAATGATGCCCTGAGAAGATGCAGGGCAACTGGTTCTCTTACATGCATTGCTGACGGAATATCAAATGTAGGCTGGGAATCGTTGGCAGTTTCTTAAGGAATTAAATGTATTACCATGAAACTGCACACCTGGGCATCTACCCCGGTGGGGGGAATTCTGTAAGGGAATGTTCAGAGCAGCTTAATTGTATTAGCCCCAAACGAGAAATGACCCAGATGCCCTTCAGCAAATGAACTGTAAACAAACTGTGGCCCCTCTGTGCCACGGGATACTAAATAATGAAAAGGAACAGGAGTAGAAAAGGAACAGACTATTGATAAAAGCCACAATCTGGATGGATCTCAGGGGCGTTGTGCTGAGTGAAAAAAGCCAATCTCAAGAGTTTACATCCTGTGTGATTCCATTTAGATTCTGTTCTCAAAATGACAAAAGTGGTCAAGATGGGGAACAGGTTTGTAGTTGCCGGGGATTAGGGTGGGTAAGAAGGAACGGGGCAGGTGTGACCCCACACCCATCCCCGGGGTAGCACCAGGGAGACCTCCGTGGCACTGGAGCAGTTTTGTGCTTTGATTGCCATGCTGGTGAGTGGACCTGCATCAATGAGGTGACATGGAACCCTGCAGACAGTATGGCAGTGTCAAGTTCATGTTTTAGGTATTATACTGTAATTATGGAAGATGTAACCACTCGGGGAAACCGGATGAAGGGTACACAGGCCTTCCTCGTACTGTCTCTGCATCCGCTATGAATTTCTAATTATGTCAAAAAAATTTTTTTAAGAGTCCTTGGGCGGACAAGAGGAGTGGGCTCCAGCCTGGGCCTTGAGGTTCAGAGAACCGCACAGCCTTGGAGGCGGCCACTGGAGCTGTGAGTTCAGGAGCCAGAAGCTGAGCTCTGGTCCAAGGCTCAGGATGCCACAGTTGCTGTCGCAGCTGCTGCCACTGTCACAGCCACCTCAATCACCACAGAGCCAGTGACCGAAAATAGCTGAGAGGTGCAAGGAGACGCCCTCCACCTCACTCCTTCCAACCATCCCCTGAGTGCCTCCAAATAGTGGCATCTAATTTGCATCCCGGGCCCAGCTGGGCTGCAAAGGAGTCTGGGTAATAGTATATACAGTTTCGGTCTGGGCAGGAAGCCTTCCTAGGAGGGTGGGTTGGACCAACCAGATCCCATGACACATCCACCGGTGTCACCATCCTCTCCCGCCCCCCTCCCACCCCAGGGCTAGATGTTTCTTTGTGTGGCAACAGAGCTTTGTGTGCAGGGCAAAGAAAGGATGTATCCATTCCTTCCCACCACGAAAGTCATGCCTGGTGTGAGTGCGTGTGTCTTAAATGAAGGCAGCAGGCACTAGAACAAGGCGATCCGATGCAGTCAGATGTGCAAGAAGCCTTCACTGCTGGATTTGCCTTTATGCACTGGCCTCCCTGGTTGTACCCTGTGTCACTCACCTGGACACGTGGAGGTGAGGCCCTTGTTCCTTCGTGTTATGCGGGGTCTGTGGTATAAATGGTCCTCTGGCAAATGATGCTGGGGAGACATACACACAAGAAACTTCAAAAATCCATATTTTGGGGGTGCCTGGGAGGCTCAGTTGTTTGAGCCTCCAACTTCAGCTCAGGTCATGATATGATTCGTGGATTCGAGCCCCAGGTCAGGCTCTGTGCTGACAGCCTGGAGCCTGCTTTGGACTCTGTGTCTCCCTCTCTCTCGGCCTCTTCTCTGCTCACATTCTATCTTTCTCTCTCAAAAATAAACAAACATTGAAAACAAATTTTTTAAAAATCCATATTCTTGCATCCATCAGCTTGAATGACTTCATTTATCTTGTCTCCTGTGCCTCTCGCCATGAAGTGACTTCTCTCATTGGTTGGACAATACGAGGCATGACACAGGTTACTCCACCTCATGCCCCCAAAGCTACTGGCCCCTATACCCACATGCCCTAGCAGACCCCATCCCCAAATAAGCATCCCCTGAGCAGTGCTACCCTGAGCCACAGGTGGGCTAGAGAGGCCTTGGGCAGCACTGCTGCTGGCCCAGGGAGGAGAGGAGGGCCAGTGAAAAGAGGAGGAGGTGAGGGGCAGGAGGGGAAGAACTCCCTCAGGGTGATGGTAAGAAATCCATCCTCCCCACTGGAGAGGTCTTGGAGGCAGGGTAGGGGCAGGGTAGGGGGGACGAAAGGCCAGGGTCCCTGGAAAGGCAGACTGTCAGAGCCCAAAGCCTGGAGAGGAAGCTCCCGGCTTCGGTTGGCCCAGGAGTGGGGACTGCGGGAAGTGTCTTGTCTGAGCTGGTGGGTGAGCCTCAGGGGTTCAGTGGGGACCACCCGCTCCTCTAAAAGCGCTGGCCTGGGAAGCCGGCTCGAAGTTCACAGAGATCTCGCCTCCCACATCTCCTTGTGCTGCGTCCCCCACCCCCCGTCCCCACACTCAGCTCTGATGCCCTCTTGCCCACAGCGCTGCCCTCACACTTCCTGGATCCCCAGTGGCAGTGACCTTGCCTCCCGACAGAATGCCAAGACACCCACGCTGATGGCCAGATGGCACACATGGCCACTACAACACACCACACACACCGATTCCTTCCTAATTCTATATTCTGTGTGGAAAGCTCACCGAGATTTGTTGAATGAGTGAATGCATGATGCTAGGAAGGAAGGAGGGATGCTATAGTGGTGGGGGCAGGGTGCAAATCGCAGCCCCACCAGTTACCTGCTCTGTGACCCTGGGCAAGTGACTCAATGTCTTAGCCTCAGTTTTCTGTTCTGTCAAATGGGAGCAATAATGCCTTTCAAAGCTCTGCAATAAGGAACACAGTAAAGCGCTGGGCACAGTGCGGGCCACCATCCCTATTCACTTCATGCCAGGTAGTGCTCCCCAGGTTCACGGGTAGGCACTGCTGCCTCTCTCTGTCTGGCCTCGGGCAATGTACTCCCTCCCCAGCTGAGGTTCTTGATCTGGGATTGTTGTAAGAGCTGGGATTGTTGTAAGGCATTTGTGAAATCCCCTGTATAAAGCCCTTAGCGCCATGCCTTGTAGGTAGTAAATTAGTTACTACAGTTCTGGAATCCCATGATCAAGGTAAGATGTCCTTCAGAATTCTGAACTTCTCAGATATAGAAACATAATGTGGCGCCTGAACTGTGAATTATGCAATATTCTCAGCAAGGTTTGACGTTACACCCCGTAACAGAACACACTGGTATTTCTGCAGTGCGATGCAAGGCACAAATATTCACACTGACTGGGACATGAGCTCTGCCACCGAACCTATGAAAAGGCTGTTGATTTTCAAAGCTGGGGGGCTGTTGGCACTGCACCTAGAGAACTGTGACCCTGTTACTCTCATCAGCCTCTCCCCTTTGGAAACACCATCGTTTTCATTGGAACTGCCCCTTTAGGGTGAAGAACCAAGAAACACTCGGGCCTGGGGTGAGGCCAGTCTGGTGGCATGGAGGCTGGTGACTGCGGTGGCCTCGCCAGCCTCCTTGTGAAGGCTGACCAGTGTGCAGTTAGTTGAGCAGACACCGCACTGCAGGCCCCTCACAGCTCATGCCCTCAAAGCCTCTTAAGGTTGATGGGAAGGTCCTAATTCACCCTCCCTAGCTGTTTGCTTTGCTTGGCACATCTCTCTCATTCCAGAAGCAATGGCTGGGGGAGGCTTAGGGCCAGCAGCGTGCACTGCAGCTGACAGTGTTTTTTGAAAAGCACAGAAAGTGGATGAAGTTTCAAGTTTGCAGGAAAGACACTTTAACATAGATGGAGAACACTAACGAGCAAAGAGCAATGGGCAGGGAGCCAGCTGCACATGACTGTGCTTGGCTGGGGGCGGAGTTCCTTCCTCCACATTCCACAGAATTGACCCTGCCTCCTCATCAGCTCCGGATCCAAAGGGATTAGAGGAAGAGAAGCTGTTGGCGCCACTGGGCAGGGCAGTGGGAGTGTCCTTTAGTGGTGGTCCTGGGCCCGAGACATGCTAGCACAACTCCGGCCTGGGTTTGAATTCTGACGCTTCCACCTATGAGCTGGGTGCCCTTGAAGAGGTTACCCAACCCCTCTGTGCCTCATCTGTACAATGGGGATAATATTAATCACACCTCCTCTGTAAAATGGAGCTAATAATCACACCTACCCATCGAGTCCTGGTGAGGTTAGGTGTGCCTTGATCCATGAAAGCCACTGTCACGGCGTCTGGCATCATCACTCAGTAAACATTTCTCATTATTCCAGCCGGGGCTCAATAACCATTTGTCAGTTATTAAGTGGCCATGGCCAGATCTGAACCCAGAGCTCTTGCATTCAAGTACAGTCCTCTGAAAATCAAAATAGAAAAAAAATTAAGGATACGTATATTTAAAAAGACTTTCTGAGGTCAAAGCTAGGGACTGAAGGGGTACGTGTTGAGGAACAGCGAATCGAGAGCGCAGTGCCCCTGAGCTGGAGCCGTTCTTGGGCGAGGAGTGTCCCAGGGGCATAAGGCCCAACCCTGGAGTTCTGTGGACTTGAGCAGAGCTGGGCTTGGAGCCTCCCCCCACCCCCTACCATCCTGGAGGGAGGCAGAGGCCAGTGCTGAGGGGAGCGCTAGAGATGGTATCATGCTGACGGGCTAAGCTCAGAGAGTCAGGCCCTGTCCTCCGGTGCCGGGGGTGGTTGACCTGCACGGGGCGAGCTGGGAAGGGCCGCAGAGTGTCTGCTTATGCATCCATTCTGTGCTGAGCAGACCTGTTCACATCAGGACACAAAAGTGCTTGCTGGAAGCTTGGGGCTTTGCTTACTGGCAAGATTCTGAAGATTCTGGCTCGGGGCCTTCAGAGAGAAACTTCACACACACACACGCACGTGCACGCATACACATGCACTCACACATCCACTCTACATATACATGTGGGATACACAATTTTACAGTATCTGGAGCAGTTCATAGAACATTCTTGAAAATATTTATTGGTGCAAGGGAGTAAACAGCCAGAGCTGGAAAGACAGAAAGGGCTGTGGTAAGATTGAAAACCCAACACCCACAACCACATTCACCCCTTCACCATCCCAAGCAAGTGACACATTCTGTGACATTCTGGCTTTTCCCATTTGTCTTCAAGTCGGGGGAGCCCAGGAGAGTGTGGCCACTGGCATGGATGCCACCTGCCTGGGGGGGGGCGGTTGCTGTGAGACACCCTGCCAGCAAGGTGGGGCCCTGCCCGGGCAGCATGGGAGCTCACGCATCCTTGTCCTTGAAGAGCGTCAGGTTGTGCTTCTGGATGTGTTCCAGCAGCACCTGTCCACGCCGCTCCAGGGTCCGGAGAACCTGCTTCAGCCCCTGTCTCCCACCTTGACTTTGCCAGAACACTGGGTCCATCTGCAGTGACGTGAGCAGCATATTCTGTAGACACCCTGACGCAAGGACCTTCACGGCAGACTCAGGAAACCTGGAGGTTAGGCCCCCCCCAGGGCCCCATAACAGAAAGGAAAAGCAAAAGTGAGCTCAGAAAGTTTCCATGGCAGGTGAAGCCAGAGGGCCAGAAATCGCAGAGTTGGCAACCTCAGGCAAAGCCATCCTGCCAAGTCCCAGAGCCTGCCTCCTGACTTGTTATAGGGGAGCCCTTCCATCTGCCTGCTGTGAGAGCAGGCAGGAGACAGAGCTTTGGGATGGATCCCACCCTGCAGAGAAGCTGGGGGAGTCAATCCTGATATCCCAGACGAGATGCCTGCTGCTGTGCCTGGCAAGTGCCAGAGAGAGTCCTAAGAAGGCTGAGTGGCCTGTCATCAGTGAGCAGGGGAGGTGGGCGCCCCAGGCTAGCTCTTCCCTGGGGCGGGGAGGGCTGGCGTCCCCAGGCCCTGGCAGGCTGCCGGTGTTCTGCTGGGCCAGGAGGCCCTCTGGCTATTAGAGGTGAGGGCGCTCCATCCAGGAGTTGTAGTGCCTGCTGGCTGTGTCCCCTCAGCTTTACTGGGGCTTCCCACCCCCTCCTGAGGCTCAGATCCAATAGCGTTTGTCTGACAGACTGCAGACTTCACAGGAGCCATGATCCAAAGCCCCCTCCCCCCATCAAGCCTCAGTCTCCGAACCTCCATCCCACCCCGCCAACCCTCACCCATCTATGCCCTCCAACAGGCGAAAGTTTAGCTTGTCCTCAGGGTGTTGAAGGTTGCCGGCATTATCGATGTAGACCAGATGGGACGGATCACTGCTCCGGACCTCAGGGGAGAAGATGGACAGAGACGGAGGTGGGTAAGGTTGCAGCCTAGCTGGCACCCATGGGCTCTTTCTGTCAGGGTTGGGAAGCACCATCCCAACGAGCCCTCCCAGCAACCTTAGAAGGGGACCTCTAGCGTTAGCTCCCTCTTGCAGAATCAGGGGAACAAAGAAGTTAAGTCACAGTCACACAGCTAAGCAGCTGGCTAGTTCCACCCTGGACCAGTAGTGCCAAGCCCCAGAGCCATCCTGTGAAACCACAAGGCAGAAGGGTTGGTTTCTTCTTGTTCTGGTGGCTGCAGAGGTGGGTAGGAACTGGCAGGAACTGGTGCGTGGGTAGGAACTGACAGGTACAGAGGTGGCCTACCCAGTGGCGTTGTGGCTTCAGGACCTACTGTGTGCACACATGCTTACACGCTCACGCATCCTGTGCACCTGTGCATTCCCTTGAGCACCGCCAAGAACACACAACGCCTTCCGTCCTCAAGGCAGCCTGCTCTCGCCCCGCAGGAGAAGAGTTTAGCAACTCCTAAACCCTTCCAAACTAAAACAAGCCAAAGGACTTCTTTAGCGCTTCAAAACTATGGCGTGACTGGAACGGAGAGGCCATGTCTTCCGCTCCCAACTCCCGCCCCGCTGCACACACCCCATTCCTATATATTCGCCAGGACCCCGTGGTGTTTTCCCACAATTCTCCCCATTAACCTAGTCTCCACATATGAACTTTTGCCTCCAGGACCCTAGCTTTTCCTCTTCTCTGTCTCTTCGCCCTCCTCACCCTCTCCACACATCAGAAGATCGTTTCTTAAAGCCCAATAACTCCTCCCTCCGAAAACTGCTGTCCTAAGCGATCTGTGAGATGGCTGCCCCCAGGAGTAACTGATATAAAAGCCTTACCTCTCCCAGGGATAACAACTGCCTTTTACCAGGGAAGAGGAGAGAGAGCTCTGAGGACAGATGGAGAATTCCTACCACCCAGCAGCTTCACTAGGCAGCCCTGGCCCCTGGCTGGTGTGGCCTGAAGCTCAGCCCGGGGCACCGTGCTGACAACTACTGTCTCCAAACGCAACAGGTCAAAGTAAGGCATCGTGGACATTCGGCTCACTGGGGGAGAAGGCAGAGGGTGGCCCCTGCTCCTTGGACAGGAGTGATGCTTTGTCATGGCAGTCCCCATCTGTGATGGCCCCTGCACATCACTTCCCCCCTGGGCTCTACTTTTAACAGGAGGCAGCGCAGGGTTCCTCTGGCCAGCACCGGCCTGTGAGCCGTCAGGCTCTAGGAGGGAGCCCTGTCACTGCCGCTGACCAGCCATGCGGTCTTGGAAAATTCCATCCCCCAGTCCAGGCCACAGGCCACAGTTTCCACAGCTGCTGGCACAATGGGGGCGGCTGAACGACACACAGCTCTCACACCTGCTTCCAGCAGCCCTAGGGGTTCCCTGTAGTCTCTCAAGGGGACAGTTAAGGAGAACCCAGTCCCCACACCACAGCCGCCTCAACCACATTTGCAAAGCCCCACTTGGGTCAGTTTTCCATACCATGGCCTTCTGGCAACATCATTCATTCAAAGCCTCCTGCTGCTAAGAAGAACCGGATTGGGAAGCCTCAGGGTCACATGATCTCTGAAACCCATGAACTGCAGGAGACACGAAAACCCGAGTCCAGGTGACAAGGGGACGTACCAGGATGTGGACCAGTCGCAGCTCACCCGGGTTCCGGCATTTCTCCCGGAGCCCCTCTTCCACGCAGGGGTCTGATGGCTCGGGCTCGAAGCCACAGCAGTAGCGGTCCAGGCGATCATGGACCTGTGAGGACACACCCAGCCTCTGAGGGGCTGCAGCTCGATGCCTGCCTCCACCAGGCCCAGCACCTGGGCCACCTGACCCCTGGGCCCCCATGCAGGGGACAATCCCCAGTGGCTGTCAGTGCCAGTCAGCCTGTGGCTGGCCTCCCACTGGTGACGGAGCTTCGGCCCTGCTCCTCCAGCCAGGTGGCCCTGCTAGCAGGGGACCTGTCTGCTCACGCCTCAGGCCAGCATGGATCTCTTCCAATGTCCACTGTGTCGCTGCCCCAAACTCTGACCTGGGGCCCCTGGGCCTCCTAGTGCTGACCACTTGCCAACCAGGGGGAATCCATACATGACTCCACTTTTTCTTTACATGGCAAATGGGACAGCAAGGCTTCCTCCCTTCTTGGGAGGTAAAAACTGCAGCCCTCATTAGGCCTGAGTCAAAGTCGGGGGGGAGGAGGGCATTCCCCTCACAGGCTCCTTTTACCCTGGAGGCCGCAAGGGGGGATCTTCAGGCATGGTGTGGGGACAGCTCCATGGAGCTTGGCCTCCCACCCCCTCCAGACACACATATAGACATACATGACACTTTAGAGAGTCACAGAATTCACATAAGAATACATCCCACTCACCTGCTTCCAGGAGCTTTCTTCAGCAGGAAGGAGCTACAGCCCGCAAGTCAGGAACTAAACAGAAACATGGATACAGCCCAGGCCTGACCTATGTGAGGATCTTATCTACTGTGTGCCTCAAATGCGAAGGGGCCCAGAAGGGAGAAGGCATCAGAACAGAAGCGGCAGAGTCCTCTGGGTGGTTGGGAGGGTCTTACTGTAGGGAGGAAGACAGGAAAGGGAGCGGTGGGACGGGGAGGTGGTGTGGAAAAGGTTGGGATGTGCCCAGAAGTGGATGAGAAATACGGTGAGGTTGGGAACAGCAGGGGGCGCCTGTCACAGGGTGGGCGAGCTGGAGGAGATGCACCCTTTTTCCTCTTAGGAAGGAGATTTGGCTGGATACAATACCTTGGTGAGTGCTAGCGACAGAAGGTGAGATCTCCACAGGCCTTGCCATGCTTGGGACAAAAGGAAAACTCCATTTGTTGCTGTGGAAGGGAGAGGAGAGAGAGGAGGGGAAGAGAGAAGTGAAGCAGGGAGCAGCAGGAGGCTGAGGGTGTGAGCTGTGACCTCCATGACCGTTGCCACCCATGTGAAATGCTTGGTGGCCTTGAGGACAGGGCTTTGAGTCCCGGTTTGGTGTGGGGCACATCAAGGTATGTGTTTCCAGATCCTCCTGGGTTGTGAGACCTGGGATGTGAGTCCTTGAAAATCCCCAGGTGGTGTCAGGGTCACAGGAGAGGGAAGGCTCAGGGACCCCTGGGCTCTACCGATCAGGATGGTGACTCAGATGGATGCTAACTCTCAGGATGCAAAGGTAACCTGGCTCCTGAAAGAGCCTTGTGTGTAGCATGGAGATGCAGCCCACCCCCCCTCTGCAGGCAGAAAGGCTACTCAGATTCACAAAGTCTGGGAATCTAGAAGTCAGCTCCAAGTAGCATACTCCGCTTGGGCCAACTGTCCAGACCAAGGTGACAGAAGGGGTAGAGTCAGGGTGGAAGTGGGTGGGAGTTGGGGCAAGGAAAGCAGGAAGCCAGCTGGCACCAAGCTGGTGATGAGCCCCACAGAAAGACAGGGCCTGCTCCCTCCCTCAGTCCCAGAATCCTCTGTGATTCCCCTCTACCCCTGTTCAGCTCTGGCAGGATCAGGGCACCTCCCTCCCCTGCGGTGGTGACGACACAGAACAGCCACAGACTTCCAGCAAAGGCAGCAGTGGGTTTAGTCTGATAAAGCAACGATGGTGTCTGTCCCTCACAGATGATGACGATGTGGTTTAATAAGAAATATATTGGGTCTCTGTGTCCTGATCCTAGCACAGAGCTCCTAAAACCTTTGGAGTTTCCCGAGTGATTCATAATGAGCCCCTTTGACCACACCTGAGTTTATGCTAATGAGAGGACCCAGGGGAGCCCCAGAAAGCTTGAGAATGGGGACTGGTCACCAGAAGACAAGTGAACAGAGGACAGGACCTTTTAGCCCCACCTCCAACCTCCAGGAAGGGTGGGAGAGCTGGATATTGGGTGATAAAAACTCCAACAATGAGATTTGGAGCACTTCCTGGTTGGTGAACATGGATGGTCGTGTCGGGAGGGTGGCACACCCCAAGTCCACGAGGACATAAGCTCCTGTGCTTGGGATCCTTCTGGACCTCACCCCACACACCTTCTCATCTGGCTGCTCCTTTATATCCTTTAAAATAAACCAGTACATGGAAGTAGTGTTTTTGCGAGTTCTATGAGCCATTCTAGCAAATTACCAAACCTGAGGATTGGGGGCATGAGAACCCTCGAATTCTAGCCAGTTGGTCAGAAGTGTGGGTGGCTCAGAACTGTTGACTGGCATCTGAAGTGGAAGAGTCTTGTGGGACTGAGCCCTTTAACTTGTGGAATCTGACACTTACCCCAGGTAAAGAGTGTCAGAATGGAATTATGGGACACCCAGTGGGTGGTGGAGAATTGGTGTCAAAACATCACTGGGGAGCCTGGGTGGCTCAGTTGCCTGGACATCTGACTCTTGGTTTTGGCTCAGGTCATGATCTCACATTCCATGGGATATAGCCCTGTGCTGATGGTGCAGAGCCTGCTTGGGATTCTCTCTCCCCACCCCCCCACCCCATGCCTCCCCAGCTCTCTGTCTCTAAATAAACAAACATTTAAAAAAAGTAAAGTAACCTATTAAAAAAACCAAGACACTCAGAAGACCACTGCCACCATCACTGCCACCATCTCTGGCTCATTCATTCCTCACTGCAGCTTCACAAGGGAGACGCTGTCATCCATATTACACATGGGGACACTGACCCCAGACAGCAAGGCCATAAATGTAAAAGTAATACAGATAGGATATGAACCAAGGTCTGCCTGGCTTGAAGCCCAGCTCTCTGTGTTATCCTGCCCCGCCTCCCTGAAGATTAGGAAGAGTGAGCCAGTTACAGAGGTCAAATGAGGTCTCCGTCATTACTTTTCATGGGATTAATTAATTTGGTCTCACTCTTGCTAATTGAGGCTAGAGAAGAGCTTTCAAAACTATGAAAGAGGAAGACGAAGAACGAGGAGACACAGAGCCCACCACCCTCTGCGACAACAGCTGAGGCAGCAGTAAGCAAGGCGGGGTTTGGATTGTCTGTGTCTTCCTTCTGTGTTCACTGCTCAGCCAGCCAGAGCCATCCTGCTTCCCTCTGCCCATGGCAGCCATGTGTCTCCATAAATACAGGTGAGGGGGACAATGTCACCTCCGGGATATAGTACTCATCAAAGCCACCTCCTAGGCCACTCAGCCCAGCCCAGTGCTGGCCAGTAAAAGGTCTTGCTGCTCCATTTCCATATCCCTTTGTAGGAAAACTCACATATGTTCTGAAGACATACAGACTCGATCGCTTTCAACACAAACGAGAAAATAACTACGGTTCAATAAGCCCCACAAAACCAGATGCCCAGAAATGGGAGTGTTAAACAGTCCCAACTCCTGGCCCCAAACACTTTGTTTTGCAATAGTTCAACATGGAGACGTTGCACACCGGACCTAGACCATCACCCCAAACAGGCTGAGGGCAATTCTGTGAGGCCATGTTAGGTAGTATTTCCAGGGCCAGTGGGCCAAAGACACCCACAGGCACTACTGAAAAAGACAAGTTTAGCCTAGAGACCAGTGCACAAAGCCCTGGTCCAGCCTGGCCAGGGTGCAAACCACCACCGCCCATTCGTGAAGTGAGCCCATTAACAAGAACTCTGACACAGGCCATCACTGCTTCGGCTGCCTGGGCTTTGGATAACACGAGCCACAAGTAGCAGAAACACCTGATTCAAAACGTCTTCAACCATAAGGGAAATTAAGATCCTCTATGGCAGCGAGTCCTGAGCTAGGCAGGCTGGGGACTTAGCAGATCCTATTGTCCTAGTAAGGACTCGGGTTTCTTTCTGCTCTACACTCAGCACCCACAATGTTAACACCCCAGCGTGGTCTCTGGAAGCCTGCAGGTGACCACTGTGGGTATGCACTTCCTTGTTCATGTCCAGAGAGAAGGAGAGGGTGGGGGAGAGAACAAATGAGAGAAACAGAGGTACAGAGACAGAGGGGCAAGGAGCCTCTCCTCCAGCAACCTTCCTGGCTGGACCAAAACCCAGACACATGCTCATTCCTGGGCCCATAGCAGTCAGCAGAAGGTGGTGACGCCCTGAGCCCAGGACAGGGTGGTAGGTGAATCGCACCAGGGCCCTGTGTGGAAGTTGTCTTTAGCTGCAGGGTCCTCACTCCAGCTGCGAATCAAAGTGTCGATCAGGACAGGGCTGAGGAGGGAGCCCTACAGCTAGCCACCAGGGACCGCTCAGCCTTCCAACTGGTTTTAAACCCACTTTAAGCCTGTATCATGCCCTCGCCTCCACTCTGCCCTAGCTATTTGGCCTGAGAAAGTTATTTAACCTCGAAACCCCTCCGTTTTCTCATCAACAAAATGGGGGCAGTGATACTCCCACATGACTGCCCTGAGGCCCACATAGGGTAATGATACGTGTAAAGCGGCGGGGGGGGGGGGGGGGGGGGGGGGGGGGGGGGGGGGGCGCATTGTGGAAGACCTGCTGCTATGTCTGCCTCCAGAGCTGGAGGCCCAAAGATCCCCCAGGAATCTCAGGGGTCCTCCTATCCGCACACACCAGGAAGCCCCAGCCTCACCCAGTGCCACAGGCCAGAGAGTGAAATGAAGTGTTACGGTAGGGTGGCCACCCTTTTCTAGGCTGGTCTAGTTTGCAGCGTACAGACATGTCTGTGAGGCAGACACCCACCTGCTTGCTTCCCTTTGGCTGGGAGAGTAAATGCCAGGGTGGTGCTGGCCAGATTGAAACACAGTCATGCTCTGGATTTCAGATTATGCCCAATGCTTGGCCAACCCAACCCCCTTCCTCCTGAAGGC